ACCCGCCTCGGCCTCCCAAAGTGCTGGGATTACAGGCGTGAGCCACCGTGCCCGGCCAGAAACGGTTTTGAGATGAATAAGTTTACAAGTAGATTCAGTCTAGTTGGAGAAAGAATTATTAATATGGAACAAAATTTGAAAAAAAATCAGAATTTACTAGAGTTAGACAAAGTAATAGAAAATAAGAAAGTAAGGTTAAGAGATGTGGAGGACAGAGGAAAGTAGAACACATGCATTGAATATTAACTTATCTTTGATTTCCTTGACAGAGATAAAGGAGAGGCGATATTCAAAAAGATCATGGATGACATTTTTCTAGAATTATTGAAACATACTAATTATCCTGTCAATAAATTCCAAATAAAAGAAATGAAAATAAATGTAAACCTACTTCAGAAAATCCAAGATAAAGAGAAGATCTTAAAAACTGCTAACCTGAATTCCACCATTCGTTCGTAGGCATATATAACTTTTAAAACATTTTTTCCAAGTAGCAATCATTTCTTAAAGTTTTCTTTAAAATGTTTTAAATATGTGGATATTTTTCTTGATGAGATTATAGATCCCTTTCTTCTGCAAAGGCTTATGTTTCCTTGGCAAACTATGGCAATAAAGTCTGAAAGAAGCGTGTGTGGAAGGGAGTGGGGTCTGAGGATCGTCAGCTTTGCTTTCATTGCCAAACCTTTGGCATAAATTGTATGGCTGCATGCTTTGTACCTTGATTTCCTTCAACTTTATTGAAATCATGAACATTTTTCATATTGCTAAATGGTGGTTATAATTATAATAGCTTCCTTATGGTCCATCAAATTTATTCCATTACAATTTCCTTAATCATTCCTCCCTTGTTAGTCATTTATGCTTTTATTTCCCTCAAATTTGGATCATTATAATGTAATACTGTCATAATAGACATTTGTATGCCTATAGCTTCTCTTTTATTTTGGTTCAGTTTTAGGGAGGGTTCTCTGAAGTGACGTTACTGTGTCAAATGTTATGGAGCCACTGCCCTGAAGCTGTCAATAAATCTACACTTCCCCCAGGTATTTTCATATGTGCCGGTTTCAGCATGAGGGTCACCACTAAGTATTATAAGTTTGGAATATAGGCCAAGTGCCGTGGCTCACACTCGTAATCTCAACATTTTGGGAGGCTCAGCCAGGTGAATCGCCTGAGGTCAGGATTTTGAGACCAGCCTGGCCAACATGGTGAAACACTGTCTCTACTCAAATTACAAAAATTAGCTGGGCGTGGTGGCAGTCATCTGTAATCCCAACTACTCAGGAGGCTGAGGCAGGAGAATTGCTTGAACTCAGGAGGCAGAGTCTGCAGTGAGCACAGATCATGCCACTGCACTCCAGCCTGGTCAAGGAGAGTGAAACCCCAACTCAAAAAAAAAAGGAAAAAAAATATATAGTCTATCAATATGCAGAGTGTAGAAGGCATTTTTATTTAAATAATAAAATGGAACATTTTCCCACATTTGCTTAATAATTTTTTTCTCTTTTGCTCACCAATTATCAGTACTTAGGCTATTTAAACATCTTTTTGGACCTGATGTTTGTCTTACAGATATCTAACATAGATATTCTTCTTTTGTGGTGAGTTATCAAGAAAAGCTGTTAAAAAACACATAGAGGGTTGTGCTGGTAAGCTTTGCTTACTAATACTACGCATAGATAGGGACCTATATTTCCTAGTAGCATTGGTGTTAGAATACTAGGGTGTCAGCCACTGTCGGCTTGCTTGACACTCATTTCTAACCCTCTTCTCTTTTATCTTCCTCTTCTAAAGAGGTTGAACAGGCTGCAACATTCAGTGACCAGCCCATGGTAAAGGCGGAGGTGGTTTTATTATAAAGCCTGGCCAATAAAATATAAGCAAGAGTGTGCCGGTGCCTTTTCCCCACATTTTCTCTTCGTTTTTCTCAGCTGAATGATGTGCTCACTGGAGACATAGCAGCCACCATGCAAGCAGATTGAAAGAAAAAGAAAAGAGACAGCCAGGAGAATGGCAGATAGTGTGGCCTTTATTTTATTAAATTGCTGAAATAATGCCATGAACCTTCTACCTTTCCCTCAAATTTATTTTTGTGCAAAATAAAACCTCATTTAAGTCGCTATGGTCAGACTTTGTGTTACTGTCTGGGGAAAAAATTTCTAACGCAGACATCTGAGCTGGGTGGGAAGGGAGTTGGATCTCTATTTTTTTAATTTTATTGCGTTTTAGGTTTTGGGGTACATGTGAAGAACATGCAGGATTGTTGCATAGGTACACACATGGCAGTGTGGTTTGCTGCCTTCCTCCTCATCACCTACATTTGGCATTTACGCTCACTTTTAAGCGAACCCAAAGCCAGTTTTTTCATAAACTTTATACTGTGAACCCATGGTAACTGACCAAAATGGAGGTTGAAATTTCTAAATTTTCTTTGTTTCCCAGTTTATATCCAGAGATATGAATGAGTCTCCTGAAGCCAAAATAAAATCAATTTTATTTTTAATGCTCACAACATTTGGCAATGGGCAAACAAAATTTAGAGGCGCTCACATACCCCATACCCAGAGAAGTCAAGTTGCACTTGACAAATACATCACGCATCTGAGAGATAAAAATCCATCCATGCCTCTCCACATCCACGCATTTAGAGCCATTATTGATCCATTTATCACATACTGAGGATATGTCATTTGACAGGTATGTGCTTCATGGCAGATATGTAAAGGAAGAAACATACAGCAAAGTCTTTGTCTTTAAAAAGTTCTCTTCCATACCAGTGATGGGGTGTGAGAGGAGGTCATCTAGATGAACAAATATACTTAGCCCAGAAGTTCAAGGCTGCAGTGAGCTGTGATTGTGCCACTGCACTCCAGCCTGGGTGACAGAGCAAGACCCTGTCTCTAACACAAAACAAAACAAAAACAAAAACAACACTCAAATATGTTTTATACTGTGTGAGAGCAAAAAGAAAAAAGAGAGTAGTAAAGAGAGATTAATAGTGAAGGGCAAAAATGGAATATAAAGGCCTTGCCCAAGTCTCCAGAGCCAGTAAAGTGGTACAGGTTCCTTTAATCAAGGTCTTCTGGACTACTTGTTACAATGACAGCCATGACCTGAAATATGTGGGCCAGCATCTGGGTCATCAAATTTTTTTACATTATAAAATAGTATCAATTTAGCTGTTATTGTATAGAAGTTAACTGGTATGAAGGAACTGTCCCGAATTTATCAGTATGAGGTTTATTTTCTCGAAGGACTCCTTGTAACCTCTACAGAGCACCTGTTATGTGTCTGCCGGAGGCTGGAATTGCAAATGTGTATGTGAGTGCTCCCGCCCCCGAGGGCCAGAGTCCTGCTCTCATTTCCCTTCACTTTCTTCCAACCAAGCCAGCCATTCTAGAACTGTATAAAAGTGACCTAGAAAAAGGGCTGGGGAGAGAATCAGACCTCAGTGCTTTAGAAAAGAGATTCTGAGATTTCTCTAAAAAGTGATATTTTCTATTGACTAAAGAAAAGAACAATTTGTTCAACATCTGTTTTTCCCTCCTGACTAACTTCGCTCAACTCTGAAGTAATGTCTCCTTTCTTTAGGAAAACAGGTGTCAAAACATGCAGCAAATCAAGTTTTCAAACAGCTGAAATAAACTTAAGGATTTTCTACCTTTTTAATAATTTTAGCCAGGAATTCTTTTGTGAGGCTTATGATTTTCCAGTTTGGAAGTCTGTTTCTCCTTGGGGTGCTTCTGAGCAATCTTTTTGAATTCTTATTGTCCCATTCCCATCCTCCATAATCAATTACTGTTATTTGGATGTGAAAAATCTATTTTTAAAAAATGATCCACTATTGATTATTTTTTATTTCGGTCAAATGTGCTTTATAAACAGGAAGATCTCAGGACCACATTGAATTCTATCATATTAAACATCTTTATAGGAAGAGAGAAAGATAAATTGAGTGAATATTGATCAATATTGTGGGGACTTTGAAACATTACTTGTTACCAGATGCTTAGGTATGGAGGGGAGAATTATGATTCCATTTTGCAGATGAGAAAATCAAGGCAAATAGAGTTTACCGAGCCCAAGATCACACAATTAGAAACTAATGAAACCAGGATTCATGCTTAGTTCTGATGTAACTTCAAAAACCACACACTTTGTGGCTCACCACAATGGTGTCTCTCTAGTCTGAGGCATTTTATGTTGTGTAGTCAAGCTTGAATTTACGTATTAGCCTCTGGTACTTACCAGCTGCTAGGCCTTGGATAAGTCACTTGTATTCATGAATCTGGATCCCCTTATCTGTAGAATGAACAGTCTATACCTCACAGGGCTTTGGTAATGATCCAGTGAGCTAATGCAAATGAAAGGGCTCAGAAGGGCACCTGGCATGCAGTACGTGATTAAGTTTTGTCAATTCTTATTATTATCTGTTTCTTCATGAATTATACTAGAATACATGTTATGACTTTGTGCATATCTGAGTACAGCTGAAGAGGGACTTCTAACTGAATACTAGTTTTTTTTCTTTAAAGTTTCAGTATTTAGTATTTATATATGAAAGATTTCCCCTACTCTTCACCATTGGCTGATAAATTCAGGGGAAGGAAAAGGTATCTCTTAGTAAGATGGTTTATGAACTTTTGTTTCAGCAGTAAAAACCCTTTTTAAAAATACAGGTAAAGCATTGCTGCTTTGACCATGGTGTGGGAAGGGGATGGACTCCTGGATCTCCATATACCCTCATTCCCTTTACAACCCCTACCAGCTCATTATTGTCATGGGGGTACTTCTGGGGAGCCCTGGATGTCAGCATCACGCAGACTGAGAACCACCAACCCACAATGCACAAAAAAACCCACAATGGACAGTGACTGACAAATATAATTAATTTTCACTGCAAAAGGCCTGCGTGTAGGAGTCCTTCTTCCCAATCTCAAAGTATCACCACTCAGCTCCCATTATACATTGCCACAGTTAATGCTTTGTTTAACTGGCAGGGTCTACAGTTTGGTACCAGAGAACTGGAGGAGATGGGAGCCATGTTCTGCTTGGGCCTCCTCACCCTGGAGCTCAAATCTGCCAGCTGCAGCCATCAGCTCCTCACTCAAGCTGCAACTCTGCTGAGTGCTGAGGAGGAGGCTCTGGACCAGCACCTCCAGCGGTAAGATGCTCCCAAGGGCTCAGAAAAATCTGGACCTTGGTGTTTCCATTGCTGAATATCTGAGTAATGAAAGTCGAGTGGACCTAGGGGGTCTTTACACAGAGACAATATGGAAGAACTGCCAAGTAAAGGTAGGTGCAGTCACGCTGTACTGGATGACCCATACCAGGGACATCCTTGTTTCCTGCTGATGATAAAGAGGACACTGCCTGTTTGTACACACATATGCAAATATAAAACTGTATGTATTTAAATATATTTCCAGTTAACACATTTTACTTATGATAAAGATGTGGCTTGGTGACACACACAGATATCTACATGCACTTATATTTGCCAGTTATGTGTTTATATGTATACAGATAACATTTTTGGAGCCATTACTCAGCAAAAAAAAAAAAAAAAAAGCAGTCAAATTGACAATATCTAGGCACCTGGAGACAAGAAATGTTTTACTCTTCCCATCTTCAAACAGCATCATTCCTTCTTGGAAGATGAAGAAAACCACCTGGAGATGATTAACGCATTGGCTCAGAGAACCGGACTCCCAGCCATGGCAGGGAAAGGCTGGATCTCTGAGAACCGTGGGGATTATTAATGAGCCAAGTGAGGGAGAACAGTTGTCCAAATGAGCCCTTTTGATTTTCTTTCCTGTAGAAGAATATTTTAGACTTGACCAAAACAAATTCAGGGGGCAAGAGGGGAAGAAATAATGGGCATGTGAGAGGAGAGGGGGTGGACAGGACTCCAAGAAGCCCAAGTGGGCTCAGTCATTGCCCACCCTTTGAGTGTCAGAATGGATGGGGAAATTGAGCTGTTGGGGAAGTGTCTGCTGGTAAATGAGGAGGCATCTGGTCATGCAGTTCATGTCCAAAGGCAGACAGCAAGCCATTATCAAAACTGATGCCATCTTATTTCTGGCTCATTTTCATGAATTTTCCTCCTGCTCCTGTTAGGCTGCCGTTGTCGTGTGACTTCTTACTGAGTGGCTAGTGAAGCCTAGAAAGACCTAGCAGTGTGCCTTAATACTGCATTGGAAGGCTCTGGTTTTTCTGAAACTTCATTACCTAAATGCAATAATTAACTTGCTCATCACACCGGGCTGTAGATCATAGACTATAGAAACTTAAATGAGTACAGGGTTCTTTTCTCCATAAGTCTGATGCCACTGATATATTTTGACATCACAGCCACTTCTGCCTGCCCCTGCTCCTTTCAACACTCCTCAGTGTCTGAAGGCTTCATGTGTTTGGTCTCACTGAAAACACCAAAGTGTTTTCAGACTCTTCCTCTGACAACAAGCGCTTCCACCTGCCAGTATGTATATTTCAACTTATCTTTTCCTTTAAGCCATCTTGGGTGTAGGCATGCCTGAATTTTCTTTCTTTCTTTCCCCTTTCCCCGCTCTCTCCTCTGCCGCTCATTGAGGGAAGACTGAGCAGGACTGGCTTTGCTTGCTTTCGTCCAATTGATTGCGCCCGCCTGTTTGATCCAATGCAGTGAAGATTAGTTGCCTGCAAACTGGAACAAAAAGAAATCTATCAAAGAAACGCCTTTTCTAATTCAAGTCTAAAGAATTTGATGTCAGGCTTCAAATACAGTGGCTGCTCTATAGGTTATCATAAAGAGCTAGTATTATTTGCCCCCACCCCTCCACACCATTTCACACAGCCGTGAGTTTTTTCACTGCATCCTGTCCAAGGGTATTGAAGCTAGAGGTCCTCCCATGACCTCTGACCCTTCCTAGGCTGGTGCAGCTTCCTAAAGGCAAGATACCTGAAAACAGGGTGTGATTAATATGTCTACTTTGAATAGATTTGAATTAAGTTTGACTGGCATGGAGTTTGGTGGAGATCAGCAGGAAGGAAACTGCCTGTTTCACCCAGACATTTGTATGGTAATATATTTTCCTATTTGTTACGAAGCAGTTGACCACACAGATTGTGATTCTTGCCCAAAGGACCTAAAGACTACATGGTTGAGAGGGCAATTACCCTGAACATTGCTTGACCCCCAAAAATATTCCAGCCAATAAGCTTATGGTCATGAAAAGATGACACAGAGAACATTTATAAAATGAAATCTACTGGTTTAAAACCATCAACAGGTTTTGAGTAGCATTTGATTAGTTTCTGATGAATAAAGTTAAATCCTGAGATGTAATAATCAGCAGAGTGAAACCTAAGAATTTTGTTAGTATCAGGATTCTTACTGTAATACAAAGAATGTAGCCAATGTTTGTCAACACAAATCTGTGTATGTTTTAAAGAGGAAACCTCTTCCACCCTCCTCCATTCCTGCCTCTTTCTTTAGCATAACAGGGTTTCCAGCATCCTATAAGCTTTGTGTTGTTGTTGCATAGAAGAAATTATGAATAACAAGGTGGGTGAGGGGCTCTGCTCCAAAGGTCTGCCCTAAAGAAATGCAAGGATGTGGTACTGCATCCTCTCCTAGGTCCGCAGACAGCCTTAACTCCTGGGGGTGATCAGCCAGGAAGACAAAGTGTGGCTGCACACTGTGGACATCATGTTTCCTGACAATAGGTTTCATGCCTCATTTACCATAAAAACAATTAGAGTGTAGTCAGCATCCACAGAGCAACTCACCATTTCTCAAGAGCAGAGGACGGGCAGAGATAGCGGATGTTTGCCTGGTGGCTGACGCTTAAAATGAAGTCCATGCGTGCTTTGTGGTGGATTTCCTTCGTCAGCCCTCTTCTTCCTAGTTGCTCATTTCAGAAATGTCTGCGTGCTCCTGAAGGCGTCTTTTGATATTTCCTTTCCTCTTCCTTTCTCCTTCCTCTCAATCTTATTCCTGGAAATAATGGTGTGTGCACTGCAGGAATGCTAAGCTGCTTCTTCAGAGGAGCTGTTTATCCATTGTGACAGGTCTTTTGCAAAGTCATTTAAGTTGTGCCGAGTCAGCCACTGTTTGTCTGGATTTGTATCCCTCCACTGCCTCTTGGTCTTCTCCGTCGAGCCCCCACCTCCATTTGTCCCTCCATTAATAACTAGAGAAAGCTAAAGCTCAGCAATGACTCAATACCCTCCGTGTTCTCCGAAATTATAGTCCTGTGTGCTTTAGCCAGGGCTCACCTTCGTACCTACATAAACTAGGTTTGTTTGGTAAAACAACACTAAAAGAATAAAAATTAGACATAGATCTTAGAAAAAAATGTTTGATAATTCAAAAGGTGCTTGATTTTCCTTTTTAAAAGCACAATTTTCTTGTTTCAAAAGAGAAAATGAAATTAGGAAAGCAGTAGATGGTATATATATAATATTTACATATTACAGTTTTACTATTGAATCATTTTGTAGTTTTAAATAATCCACCTTTTCTCACTGATTAGTAATGCCAGTTTATTATGTAGTATATACACATGCATGTACCTGGGTATATTTTTTGGATTTATATTCTGTTCCATTAGTCTGTCTGCCGGAAACACATAGATTTTAATACTGTAACTTTGTAATCTAAATGCATGATGCTGCAAACACACCTCATTAGTATTAGTTTAAAAATGTGTTTTGCTACATTTCCTTCTTTATTTTCACTGATACACCCTGTAATGAGTTGTTAGCTGCCAAAACCTAACCAACTGGGATTTTAACTCAGGTAATATTAAAATTATAGATATTTTGGGTCTATTGACTGCTTGCCTATGTTACTTTTATAAAATTTGATATTTTTATTCACTTATACAGATCTGCTTTGGTGTTCATCAGTACTGTAGGGATTCCTTAGGTATTCTTTTTACGTAGTTCCTGAATATATTGTAATAAACTTTTAACTTCAATATTTTAAAAAATTTTGTTAATCTAAAAAGTGTATTTTTTACTACATTGCTTCTAAGTGCTTGTTTTAGTTATGTAGAAAATTTCTGGGTTATATATGTATGTTTGTTTGTGACTTTAACAAACTCACTGGTTATACCTGAAAGTATTTTCCATGGATTTTCCTATTTTTCTAGATAGAAAACAGTATCATTTATACATTTTGACCACTGGCTTCACGTACTTCTTTTTCTTATCCTATGACCTGGGCTAGAGTTTTGAGACCAATGTGTAAGGCTGAGGATTTTATGAGCATCCTCACCATAAACCTAACTTCAAAACGAGAATGACTCTGCCTCTAAGAATTAAGTGAAATGGCTCTTGGTTTGATGTTAATATTTCATATCTTCTTCATTATTATTTTTCTTAGCTTATTAATTTAACAGAGTCTGGATTGGATGATTAATTTTATCACAAGTTTCTTTAGCATCTAGAAAAATTACTTATTTGAATTAATAAAATATTATATTATGGATTTTCTAATATTCAACTATCCTTACATTTCTGAGGAAAATGTATTTGGCTGTGACCTGAAATATTAGTTTAATGTAGAGATTGAAGTTACGTACTGTAAACTGAGGAGTTGCATGCCTATATTGGTGAGTGAGTGAAGTCTGTGCTTGGTCTCTGTTGTTCTATGAACTTGAACGCTTTAAATTTCCTAGGTTACATCTGCATCTTGAACATTTACTTATTGCCTGCAAAATCGTCTGTGTTCTATTTATTTAAAACAAAAATATTATTTTTCCAATTCTAAATTTCCCAAATAAGAATTACCAATGGCATTTAAATTGTCCTGTAATCATGTTCAGATCATTTTAAAATTCAACTTTGTGTTTCCTTACTTGCATTGGTCATCTCTACCCATTCTATGCAATCATGTCCTCATTCTTTTTTTTCAATGTTGATTCATTTTACATTTTTTCAGAGAACACCTTAAAAATAGCTTTTCTTTTTTCAATGTAAATCAGTGGTTTATTTTTTCTTTTTTGCATATTAATACATATGTGAATATCTTTCTCTTCCCTTTACCTAGGAATTCTACTTTCTCTGCCTAGAGATTTTATGGGTGACACATTAAAATAGTGTAGACAGGGCGAAATTCACTGTGATATGTAATCTTGCAGCAGCTAGCCTAATTTTCTTTCTTTGTATACACCCTATTTTTTCTTTTTCTTTTTTGAGATGGGGTATCTCTCTGTCACCTAGAGTGGAGTGGAGTTGGACAATCTTGGCTAACTGCAACCTTTGCCTCTTGGGTACAAGTGATTCTTCTGCCTTAGCTTCTTGAGTAGCTGGGGGTTACAGGTGCCCGCCCTCATGCCTGGCTAATTTTTATATTTTTAGTAGGTAACGGGGTTTCACCATGTAGGTGAGGCTGGTTTTGAACTCCTGACCTCAAGTGATCCACTCACCTCCGTCTCCCAAAGTGCTGGGATTACAGGTGGGTTCCACCACGCCTGGCCACACGCTGTCTTTTCTACCTTAATATTTGTAGTAGTTTCTCTTTGCCCCTTTGTTAACACAAAAATTATTTTTCTACTGCATCAAAAATATTTATTTCTTTCCTTCTTTGTGTGTGTGTGTGTGTGTGTGTGGTTTAGTTCCTTTTAATTGATTTTAAATATGAACATTCTATTCCCTTGCAACACGTCTCAGGTATAAAGGAACAGTGATGCCACTCCACGTCTTCATTTACCTTCCTTTGACGTTTTTGGTATTTGTTTTCTAGCCTCTGTATCTGTATCTCTTCTTCTTTAATCCTTTTTACCTCCTTGCCCCAATTCATCAAATTCTGGAAGTGTGTCTCAAGTTTGCCCTCACACATTCAATTTTCTGCAGCATGGACACTCTAGTCTTTGCTGATAACATATTTTTGGGGTCATTTTACATTTAGGTTTTATTGCACCTATTCTCCATCTTTCATAAGTTCCTTTTATTCACGTTTGTACTATTGCTAGCTCACTTTCCATTTGCATCAGTCATCTTTTCGCTTATTATCCCATAGATGCCTTTTGAAAAACAGCTTTCCCGATCCCTTCACACAGGCTCCATCATGCTTGCCTCTGTGTCCTGTGGCTAATCATTCCCCCAAAGAGCACCACCGCCAAGCTCCTGGAAAGGCATTGGCCTCCTTGCACTTTTTCAGGGCGTTTCACCACTTCAGGTTGTGCTTCTTACCTCTTCCTGCTCTTCCAACTTCTTTTCCTCATATTTTTTTTGTCCATTCATTTTGAATCATGAAAGCTCTATCATGACTCACAGTTACTCAATAATCAAGAGTTTATATGTTCTTTAAACCCTTTTATGTCTATCTAGCTGGATATAGAGAAGTCCCCTTGTTTTAATAGGGAGTAATCTGATGTAGGTGGTGCTTTCTCTTCAAGAATTCATGGTATTTTGGCTTTTACCTGAGAGCACAAAGTTGGGGTGATTGTGTTGGAGAGGTTAAGGAGAACGGGAATGGAGAAGTGAATGAAGATGGGAAGTGCCCTACTAATGTCAGTGAGCCAAAATGGGAAATTTGGGATTGGAGTTCCCGTAAAGATTCCGTTAGAGTAAAGCAAAGGATGGAGTCTCTGTGGAATCTTCGGTTTCAAGTTAACATTCTATTTCCATCAATTCCAAATTAATACTACGTAACTATTCTGGTAATAGCTCTCTTAAGTTGTCTGCTGTCATCTTAATTCTACTCAAATTTTTAAAAAAATTAGCCCATAGTATGAATTATCTGAGAATATTCTTAGCTTCTTTCTATAGTTGCGGTAGCAGAAATGCTACATGTAGAATAATGTTGGAATGGACTCAGCCTGGGAATCATTACAGATTATGAGTATCACGTGTTGCTTTAAAACATTAAATGGCTCCCTAAGTGGTCAAAGAAAATGAACTGATTAGCCAGAAGAAGTGCTAATTTTAGGCCGGGAAAACAATAGCAAAAACAAAACAAAACAGAACAAAACCCCTTTCCATTAGCTGGTAAGCCACAATCAAATATTTTTTGGTATGATTTTATGCTGATTCTTCTAAAATAGATAAATTAAAATAATCAAACCCAATGTTCATGTGTCTATGAAGAAAGAGGTTTAATAATATCATACAGCTACTGGTAAATTGGTTTACTGTACTCTGGAGAGCAATTTGGCAGTTTGTAAAAAGGTCCATAAAAAAGCTCTCATTTGATCCTATGTTTTGAGCTTACAGAATATTACTGAAGACAACAAACATAACAGAAGAGAATATTTTATATGTGCATACGTATACAAATACCACTTATTTCTGCACATAATTTTAAACAACTCAAATTCTTAGTAGTAAAAGAAAAGAACAGCATTGATTACTTTTCTGGACTACTATACCACTGTGAAAATAATAAGTATGTCAATTTATGTGTAAGATGATCATAAAGCTAACATTCCTTAGGGCTTTACCGTGAACCAGATGCTGTGCTAAACATTTTATAAATATTATCTTACTTAATACTATAAATAATCCCATGTGGTAGATGCAATCATTAACATTACCTTTTACAACCAAGAAAATTAAGTTTTATAGAAGCTAAGAAGTTTGCCAAATGTCATGAATATATTTAAGAGACTCTGCTGTCATTTGAACCCACTTTTGCCTAACTCCAAGGCTCTAGGTCTTATCCTTTATTATATTTAGCCTTTCAAATAATAGGTGAAAATCAAAGCAGAGTAATTAATGGTGTATACATGCTGATCATGAACTCAGCAACATACAGAAACATTGACAGAGGTGGGGGGCATTAAATGTATAATCTAAACTTAATTTAGTTTTATTAATTTCTTTCTCTTTATAGTTCCTTAAATTATGTGTTGAGTACACGTATGTCTGCGTGTGTTTCTTGGTAAGTTTTAAAATTCACATGACTTGGGCTCATGTGGGACCATAAATATCCCTTGATCGTTTTAATACTATTCAGGGAAGATTAATGGATACCATTATAGGCTGAATGCATCGTAACCCACGGCAATTACAAAAGGGAAAAAGATTGCAAATGCAGAGGAGCGAAAGTGCATTTTCTTCATATTGCATTTTCTGCTTACGAAATGTTACCACCTAATAACAACCATGAAAGTTAACCTAAAAGAATTCCTATTTTACAAGTGACTCCATGGGAGCCCAGGGAATCTAAGTGACCTGCTAGGTGTAGTTAAGTGATTTACACATTGCCACTCAACATGGGGCATCTCATTCGCCTCTGCCTCAGGCTCAACCAAATGAACTGCAGGTCTCTTGCCTATGAAACTATAAATACCTGAAAATAGAATAGGTTACCAGCCCCTGGAAAAGGATTTCAATCAAGAAACTCACTCGTACCACTCTCTATAG